AGCTGCGCTTGTTTAACACTATGGAGTGAAGTTCCTGAGGAAAATTGGCCATTTCTCCTCAAAATATTGGCGATGTCAGTCATGGGGGCTGGCGACGCGCTGGCGATGTCGCCCCGCCGCCTGCCCTCATTTAGCCAGCCCTGGCTGGCGATGGCCTTCGGCCAATCGCCAGCCAGAGCCGTTTTTTGGCCCGATTTCGCCAGCATTTGGCGATTTCGCCAGCTTTCAGAAACACTGCTCTGGCATGTTTCGGTGCCACGTCAGCCAGAAGGTCGACCTAGGTCTAGCGCAATGCACCATCGCTCGTTTCAGTTGCGCGTGTACTCGTCCAGCCGCTTATCCCTCCGCTGAACCAATGAGCTGACGGCTTGCAGCACCAGGTTTGGGCGTGGTTGTGTGAGCCTCTGCGGCTGTGAGCCATGGCCATCTTCCCAGTGCGCCGGGTGTTCAGGGCGGTGAGTGGGGCACACCCGCCAGGCCACAGAAGGAGGGGGCACCCTTCGATCGCTGGTTGCCTCGAGACTCCTCGGCGAGGCTGGCTGCCGGAGCCAGCTGGATGGGGGCTAGCCAGCGTCCTGTCTGTGCCGCCACAGGCAGCCCCCGCCTGCCCCAGCCTGGTCGCTGCCCAGTGACGCCTCCAGCTGGCGCAGCTGCAATGCGGCGCTCGACGAGGGTTGCGCTGCCTCCCCCTGCGCGCAGCTATGGATCCTGATGGCGGTGGCCACGCTGTCGGCCCTGCCCTGGATGATAGTGGAGTTCAAGAAGGCGCACTACAGCGTCCACTACCAGGGCAAGTGGCTGCACAGCGCGGGTCGGACCTGGGCTGTGCCCGTGCCCGCCGCATGCCCATGCCAGTCGCCCGCTGCTCCCTCCCCCTGCAGCATGGTTCATCGCCGGCATCTTCGTCATCCTGGCCGTCTCTGCCTCCATCTACGAGGTGCGGCGGCGCAGTCAGCGCAGCGGGCGGCTGCCGCTCGTGCGCCTTCCGGTGTGGAGCCCGCCGTGCCGCCGCGGCCTCACCGCTGCCTGCCCGCCCTCCCTGCCCGCCCGCCCAGGTGGCCATGCACCTGGAGTATTACAACCGGCCCAAGCTGCAGCTGCGTGTGGTGCGCATCCTGTGGATGGTGCCCATCTATGCGGTGGACAGCTGGCTCGGCCTGCGGTTCAAGGAGGCGCGGTGAGGCGCGCCGCAGGGCGCCACGGTGGCGGCGGGAGTGGGCCCCGAGGGGCGTGGCCTGCGCTGCCGCAACGTCACGCTCGGAGGCTGTGGCCCTCTTGGGCTCGCCCGGCCAGTCCTTTGAGCTGCTCCTGCGGGCGCAGCTGCTCTGCCTGGCGACGGCCCGCGCACACAGGCCAGCCTCCCCACCCTCCCCACCCCGCCCCCGCCTCGCAGGTTTTACATCGACCCGGTGCGCGAGTGCTACGAGGCCTTTGTCATCTACCAGTTCTTCATGTACCTGGTGGCCTACCTGGAGGACGAGTACGGAGACGTGGCGGGTGGGCGGCGCGCGCAAGCACGCGCGCACTCGCACTCCCTCTCCCTCCCTCTCTCTCTCTTCCCCCCCTCTCTCTCTGCTCTAAGAAGCTCGCCTCCTCCCACGCCTCGCTCGCGGCCTCACCCCCTGCCCGCTCCCGGCCCCTCCCCGCCGCCCCCCTGCAGCCTACTTCACCGTCAAGGAGCAGGTGCCGCACCTGTGGCCCGTCAGCCGGCTGCTGGAGCCGTGGGCCATGGGCGAGCGCTTCTTCTGGGAGACCAAGCGCGGCGTGCTGTCCTACGTCATTGCGCGACCCCTGGCCACAGCCGTGTCGGTGGTCACCAACATTGCGGGTGGGGCGCGGGGGGAGGGGCGGGCCGGTGGATGAGGGGGCAGCCAATGCAGTGCAGTTCACTGCTGTGCCGTGTGCCGCCCCCCAGTGCTGGTGCCTGCAAGCGTTTGTGGCGCCGCACCCATGATGTTTTTCTCCCTCTTTCTCCCGGTTCTCACCCTGTCCCTCAACACCTGCCCCCTTCTACCAGCCCACATGCTGTGCCCACCCCTCCAACACTGCCTGCAGGCGTGTATGGCGACGGCGAGTTCCGGCGGGACCGCGCCTACCCGTACGTGGCCGCGGTGAACAACTTCACGCAGATGTGGGCGCTGTACTGCCTGGTGCTGCTGTACCGCGCCACGCACGACGAGCTGCGCCCCATCCGCCCCCTCTCCAAGTTTGTGGTCATCAAGCTGGTGGTCTTTGTCACGTACTGGCAGTCGGGTGAGGCGGCGGCGGGTGCTGGAGTTTGTCACTGAAGTGGGCAGGCGGGGCGAGCAGTGAGGCCGCACATCTTCAGCCTGGGCCTGGCCAGGCAGCCCATTGGTGCCCCCACCCACGTGGCGCCCACCCACCCGCCTCCCCCTCCTGCTCCCCACCCCCCCTCCAGTCTTCATCGCCATCTGCGCCAAGCTGGGCCTCATCCGTCCCGCCGAGTGGAGCACCTACGACACCGACGACGTGGCTGCCGGCATGCAGAACTTCCTGATCTGCATAGAGATGTTCATGGCCGCGGTGGCGCACGCACACGCCTTCCCGCCGCGAGTGCGCCCCCAGCCCCGCCTCCCGGGGCGCCACCTGCTCAGCCGGCCTGGGCAGCCCTGCCCCGGCGAGCCGCCGGCGTGCCGCTGCCCAGCCCTTTCCGCCCCATCATCTGCTCCCATCCTCCCCCCGCCGCCACCCTGACTCCACCCTGCATCACCCCCCTGCCCCCCACCACAGGACTACATGGATGCCAGCCGCCCTCCCGCCGGCTTCATGAAGAACCTGCGGGTGATGTTTGATGTGCGGGACGTGATGACCGACGTGAATGCGGTGGTCACAGACACGGTGCAGCAGACCACAGACAACATCACGGGTGCGGGGCCGCGCTGTGGAGGCGGCTCCTGCAGGGCAGGCGCGGGCCAGGCCTGCTGCTCCCGGCGAGGCGGCGTGGAGCCGCCGTGCCGCCGCTCGTAGCCGACCGCTGCTCGCCCACCTCGCCGCTGACGTTTGCTCTTGCGCTGCCCCTCCGCGCCCCCGCGCGTGCCGCGCCGTGCAGAGGCGGGTCAGCGTGCGTGGACCACTGCACGCGACACGCTGGCCTCTGCGCCCGACACGCTAGTGAAGCAGCCGCTGAAGAAGCTGTTCAGGAAGGAGGAGGGCGGCAGGCGCAAGGGCGGCGACCACGACAGCGACCTGGAGGACTCCGGCGGCAGCCAGGCGCTGCTGCAGTACAGCGCAGCAGGCGGCGGCGGCAGCAGCAAAGGCGGCGGCGGCAGAGGCGGCGGCAGAGGGGAGGGCGGAGGAGGGCGGCATGGGGCGCACGCAGACAGCCCCTAGCTTCGCTGTTGCCCTCCCTTGCGCAGCAACGCAGGGCTGCTGCTGTACCACTCATTGCCATCATCTCAGCTGCCAACCGCCACTGGCGGGCACCTTGCAACCTCGCAGTACGCGGCATCGCTCCGGAGCCGCTTTACACAAGGGGTTTGCAGAGCACGGTGTGGGGCACACAGCGCCAGGGCAAGGGGTAGGGCTGGGTGCGGTCAGGCCCGGCAACGTGAGGAGCTGAGGCGAAAATTGGGTGCGGGGGCGGGTGTGGCTGGCTGGGCGCACACACCAGCGCCGCCGCAAGAAGACTGGTGGGCGAAAGGGACAGGAAGAGATTGGGCGAATTGCGGTTATGCTACAGTGCCGATGAGATCAGTGGGTTCGTTTGTTGAAGGAAGGAAGGTGATGGGGAGGTTGCTCTTCTCGCTTCAAACTGGGCGGCCCACGGGCAGCATGCCGCGGATGGCGGCCTTACGCTACCGCTGCCTGCTGCGGTTGCTGGCGACTATGGGCACCGCTTCGGCTGCTGCTCGCTGCCTGCCATCTGCCGCCACCGCGCCGGCGCTCAGCCAGCTGGGGCAGTCGGCCAGCAAGCTGACCGCGCCATTGGCGGCGCCCAGGGCGCTAACGCTGCCAGCGCTGCCCTCAGAGCTGGTGCTGCCGCCGCCGGCCAAGGAGCTGCCTACAGCCATCGGGGCGCATGGCTGGCTGGAGGCCGGCAGCTGGGAAGCGGGCGCCGCCATGCTGGCGTTGAGGGCGACCGGCGCATCGGCTGCTGCTGCCGCCAACGGCGGCTGGCGTGGCTGCTGCTGCTGCTGCTGCTGCTGCTGGGCTGCGCTGGCGCGGGCGTCTCCGCCGTCCTCGCCATCCCAGCTGGCGCCGCCGTCCCAGCGCGCGCCGCACGTCGCGCCGCCGGGCGCGCCGCCGTCCCCACTGCCGCCGCCGGCGGCGGACGAAAAGGCGGATCGGCTCCCGGAGCCCACGGAACCGTTTGTGGCTGGGGCGTTCCCCTTGTCCCTGGTCCCCCTTCCCAGAGAAAGGAAGGAAGCCCTTGAGGAAGGAGCGGGAGGTGCCCCGGGGGGGCCGTCCGCCCACCCCCCCCACTCCACCACCCGGTCCAGCGCCGGCACGTCGCTGCGCAGGTGCACGTACACGGGGGCGGCGCGCAGGCGGGGTGCCGCCACCAGCGCCGCCGCCTCGGCGTGGGTGATGGTGTCCAGCACCAGCGCCATCTCGCGGCGGAAGATGAAGGCGCGCAGCTGGGGCGGCGCGGGCCACAGCTCCTCCCCGCTGACGTGGCAGTAGACGTGCAGGGAGGGCACCGCGCCGCCGCCGCTCCTTGCGGGGCACTCGTCGGCGTCGCTGCCGCTGCCTGTGGCGGCGGGGCTACTGCCGCTGCTGGGGGGGGCGGGCGTGGGCGTGTCCTGCCACTCCGCCAGGATCTCGTCCCGCAGGATGCGCGTGTACCAGCCATCCAGCTGCCGCCGGTTGTACTCGTGGCCTGTCGGGCGGGCAGGGCAAGGAAGAGGATCGGCGACGGCAGAGGTGCGGCGCATGCGGACTGCTGCCCAGGAACCGGTGGGCACAGGCCGGCGGGCAGGCGCGCCCAGCAGGCAGCAGGAAAGCCCCACATGCCCTGCTGCCGCCGCTCCTTGCGCGCACCTATCGACAGCTGCAGGCTGCCGGTGACGTCGTTGTGGGTCAGCGTGTAGCGGCGGCCCGCAGTCACCGCCGCCCCGCGGCTGCCGGGCAGGTACTCCACACTGAGCTTGGAGGGGTCAAAGGGTGGCGGGTCCAGCAGGGCGGCTCGCGGCGACTGCAGGCAGCGCAGCGCAGCAAGATACAGGGGCGGCGGGGTCAGCATTGGGTGGATGCTGGGGCAGGCGCGCAACGCAGGCAGGGTGGCAAGAGGGACATCCACCTTGGCTGCCCCCGACACTGCGTGGCAGCCCAGGTGGCTGACAGCCTCCAGCCTTGCCAGGCTGACCCCAGCTGTGACAAGACACTCCTGAAGCACAGCCATGAGCCACAGAAATGGCACATGGAAATGGCGGCGCAGGTACACAGCCCTCTGCCGCACCTGCAAGGTGCGGCGCGGGTGGCGGCGGCGGGGGGCCACACGGCTGCACCGCCAGCACGGCTGAGCCTGCCCAGCCAGCAGGCCACCTCCCAGCCGGCTCATACCCAGGCTGCAGTGGCTGGCAGCGGCCGCTGCAGCGAGGGGTGAGGGGCTCATGCGGCCACCCAGGCCAGGGCGCGCCACGGAGCCGGTCCCCGTGACTTGGGCAGTCTCGTCAGCTGCCCGGCTAGGGTCTGGCGCGCCGCTTTCAGCGTGTGTGGGGTGGAGGGGTGGGGGCGCGGGGCAGGCCTTCCGGTGATTTGCGTGTACTCCCAGATGAAGGGGACAGCCCGAGGCTCGCTCCCGATTGCAGTCTGGCCTCTGGATTGAGGATGAGGAGCCAGCTGGAGCGCGCCATGCTCAGCAGGAACAAAGCCGCCAGCAAGAAGCTTTGACCCGAGAGTGTGGGCCCTGCGTTCCACCGTTGATCACCTCACCCGCCCCACTCGCACGCCGGAAGTGCGTCAATAGAACGTGCCGTTTCAGGTCTACGGGACTCCCCAGCGCCCTGGTACCCCGTTTTCAGGCGTTATAGGCGAGTGGTGGCAGCATCGTGTGCGGTGGTTGGTTCCCGGCGCTGACCGCCATGCAACCGCTCGCCACTGGAGCCGCCTGGCGGCCCATGTCGCCCCTGCGCAAGCCGGCCAGGGTGTAGGTGGCCTGGAGCGCCGGGTGGTGGGCGCGCAGCGCAACGCGGCACGGACCTGGCCCAGAAGCCAGGCGGCTTGCAGGCGCAGGCGCACGGCTGGGCGCCGCCCGAGGCAGCAACTGCTGCATGCCCTCCCAGCCGCCCATGTGCTGCCTGTGCCCTGCACTGCAGAGCTCCACCCACGGCCGCACGCAAGTGGGCGACCCGCCCCAGCTTGGGCCTGAGCAGGGAGCAGAGGGGGCATATGGCGCGGCGCATAACTGGCGCGGCGCCGCCGCCCCGCCTGCTGCTGCTGCTGGCGGCAGTGGTGGCTGCGGCGCAATGGGCGCCCTCCGCAGCAGCGCAGACGTGCGGCAACATCGACGCCCTGGGGCCGGGGCGCGCCAGCGGCAAGGGCGTGAAGAACGACGCCCCCGCGCTGGCAGCCATGGACAGCAACCCGTCGGTGGGGCTCATCTACCTGCCGCGCGGCCGCTACCGCATCAGCTCCTCCCTGTCCCTGCGCAAGCCGGTGCTGGGGGAGCAGGGCGCCGTGTTCCAGGTGGAAGGTGGCGCCACGCTGACCCTGCAGTCGCAGCCAGAGTACGGGCTGTGGCGCCTGTTTGACGTGCGAGGTGGGCGGCGCGCCGGCACGGCGGTTTGGTGTGGCCCGGTTGGGGGGTGGTTGGTTGGTTGGTGGGACTGTGGGGGGGGGCAGCCATGAGCAGCTGGCATCCCTGCTGAGCAGTCTGGGCTTGCTCCTCCCATGCACGCCCTGCGCCTCGGTGGTTGCCAGCAGGGCGGCTGTCGCTGTCCTGCGCCCGCTGGCCTGCCTGCCCGACAGGTCGCCTGCCCCTGCGCCTGCCTGCAGCTGGCGGCAAGGTTGCGTTTGGGATCGACACAGTGCGCGTCTTCCCAGAATGGTTTGGCGCGGTGGGCAGCGGCAAGGTGGATGATGCGCCCGCCATTCAGGTGCGGCTGGGCCTTGGCAGTTACAGGCGAGCGCCGGGGGGGTGCGGCCCACAGCCAGGCCTGCTCACGCCCTGCTCCTCCCCGCCTGCCCCGCCCGGCGCAGGCGGCGTTTGACACGGCGGCCTCGTCTGGCGCCGCCATGCTATACCTGTCCAACGCTAAGTATGGGATCGGGCGCGAGGTGACCTTCACCAACGCGGCCAACGTCATGTCGGAGCCCGACGCGCGCTTCGTGGCAGGCACGCGCCGCCGCCCACACGCCCGCCCCGCCGCCCTTTCTGCGTGCGTGCATGGGCCGCCCTGCCGCCCACCACGGGCACCTCCCCAGCTGACTGTGCCTGCGCCGCCCGCCCGCCCGCCGCTGCCTGGGTGCAGTGAACGGCAACGGCCGCGGCGTGACCTTCCCCAAGGGCGGCTACTCCTTCAAGAACGTGCTGCCGCACCTGTCGGGCTTTGCCGACTTCTGCCTGCGCCTGTTTGGCGCCGACCTGGGCTCCTTCCAGCTCAAGGTGCGGCCGCAGGGGGGGCGCCAGGCACCGCTCGCTGGGGCGGTGTATCAGGGCCTTGCCCAAAACGGAACGATGTCATCAAGGGCGGGGGCGGTGCGGGGCCGGCTGGCGGCCGTGGGTGGGCAGATGCGTGGGGTAGTTGGCGCAGCAGCCCCCGCCCCTCCTGCCGCCTGCCTGCCTGGCCTGGCGTCCAGCGTGCGCTGGCGCGCTGCCTGCCGCCCCGCTGCAGACGCTGGCCAACTGCGGCGACGCGATCCGGCTGGAGGCGCAGCCGCCCAAGGAGGGCGACATTGGCACCGTGCTGGACAACACCATCTGGTTTGACACCATCACAAACAGCCGCAACGGTGAGTGGGTGGAGGCGGCGGCGCGCAGCGGGGGCACCCCTCCGCTTCCTGGTCCCACGCCCTGCTTGTGGAGGTGGCGTTCCGGGACCCGACCTGCGCTGCCCCTGGCTCGTTTTGATGGGCGGCCCTGCCTGGGCGCGTGGTGCTGCGCAGGCATTGCGTACCGCGCGGGGGAGGGGTGCGGGGGTGACGCCTGCATCTTCCAGGGCAACCAGGTGCTGGGCAGTGCCATCACCGGCTGCGCGGCCTCGGGCCAGACCGCCGCCATGGCCTTCTTCTTCTCCGCCAAGCCCATGCCCGCCTGGGACTCCAACCAGTTCAACATTGCCACCGTGACGCCCTGCAAGACCAACACAGCCTACGCCTTGCTGTATGCCGACCCCCGCACCGAGACGGCGCGGGAGGTGGTGAGGTGCGCCGCCCGCGCCCGGCGCCGCGGCCAGCAATCGGAGCAGCCGGTGGAGCGAGCGGATGGATGGGCTCGCTGGCTGGCGGCTGCTGCCCACCACCTTCAATAAGGGCCAAGCAAGGGCGCCATGGCAAGCAAGGGGTGCTACCTTCTTCCGTCTCAGCCTGCCGCCTCACTGCCGTGCGCCTTGCTCGGCTGGGGACGTGTGCAGGATTGGGTCGGTGGGGGCTGTGGCGCCAGGCGCCACCCTCTTCTCGGGCAGGCATATCGTGCTGCAGGCCAGCATCAACCTGCGGGAGCAGCAGGTGGGTGGCGCGGCGGCTGGGCCGGGCTGCCCACCATGAGCTGCCTGCTGCCAGTGCTGGTGGCGCTGCTGGTGCCAGAGATGCGCGCGCGCTGCTGGCGCGCTGGCCTGACTGCCGCCTGCCTGCTGCTGGTTCTGGCGTGCAGCCTGATGGCGCGGGTGCATTGCGAGGGCTGGCATCCATGGTGGAGTTCTCCGGGCAAACCAACCCGCTGCTGGCCAGCACGCCGATCAAGGCAGCCACGCGGGTGAGCGAGCTGCCAGGCGGCAGGCAGCTGAGGCTGCCGCTGGCAGGGCGGCGGGTGTGGCGCACATGTTCGGCCGGTGCACCCCCTTGCCCCCCAGCCCATGCACCGCCGCCAGCGCGAGACTCATCATCTCATGCCTGCATGCTCTGTGCGCCCTGCGTGCGCTGCCGCAGCCCCGCAGCAAGAGCCTGTTCAACGGCGGCAAGTCGCTGCTGGCCAACTACTTCACGATACGGGCGGTGCCGGAGCTGGGTGAGTGGTGGTGGGGTGGCGGCGGCCTGGCACCTGGGCGACCCAGCCTGCCCCTGGCTGTCCTGGGTGTTGAGCATCTGCCTGCCTGCCCGCCGTGTCCCCCCCTTCCCTCTCTCCGCTTCAGACTGGCTGCCGGGCGAGTCCCAGACCTTCTACGTGTACCATCAGATGGCCACCGGCGAGCTGTACAACATCAAGTGCGACGCGCCCAAGCTCAAGTCCACCGGCCTCCCGCTGGTGTCGTGCCTGCAGGTGCGGGAGGGAGCCTGGGGGCCGCGGCAGGGCTGCGCCGGTTCGCCGTTCCTGCGCCACGCAGCTGGCCGATGCATTCCCCCTGCTGCTGCCTCCTGGGCCCCTGCGTGCAGGTGAGGGACAATGCTGGGGGCGGCGCCAAGGACGAGATCCAGGTAACCCTGATCAACCTCACAGGCCAGACCATGGTGGCCGGCAGCCAGCAGATCACCTTCACCATGGCCGTCGCCACGCTAGGCAGCCCCTGACCGCACATAGGCAGCGTACCTACTCGACCCCGCAGCACGGCTAGCAGTTCAGTTAGATTAGGGCCCACCCAGGAAATAACCGACCCACACTGCCCCCCTATTGTCATTTGCTTGCCAGGCATGTTGAGCCTGTAATGACTGCACACAGCAGAGCGGTGCATGCCAGGCGTGCACGTGATGTAACTGTTGGGAGGCGGTTGTTTTCTCTCAAAGCCTCTGCCTGCTAACTCTATAGCAGAGGAGAGTGCCCAACAAAGAAAGATAGACGCTTCTGCTCTGTCATTTCAGAGGAATGCCCGCCCAGGACTCAGGAGCTGGCCATCTGGCAGGCTTGCCAGGTGGAGCTGGATTAGGCCATTACCAGCAGCTGACTCTGGTGGGAAGAGACACATCGCATTCATTAAGCCACCCATTTCCTTTTCTTATGTGTTTTTTCACTGCCAAGTATTAAAGGTGAGCGGATCAGCCACAGTTTAGAGCTTGGGGCAGCCACAATGCATCGGACATGCCGGCGGCATGTCCCCCACCATGCGTTCGTTTCTCGCCGCCGGCCCTTAAGAACAGTCCATCATCGTATATGGTAGCCGATGGGCGCGGTGCCTGCGCTGGCCGCTGCGCCCGCTGACCTCGGAGCTGCTCCTGTCGGGGCAACTTTGCGAGGAGGGTTTTGGAAAGTTGGCGGAAGCCGACGAACAACAGCAACACCCCTGCCCCCCCTTCCCCCTGCCCAGATCGCCGCGGCCAGACCTCCTCTCTGACAGGGCGCTGGACGCCCCAGCCGATTCGACGAACTCCCCAACAGGGTTGGTCGGCCCCCGGCCAGCCCTCGTCTCCTGTTGCAGCTTGGGGCACCCAGCGACAAGGGCGATCCGTTGTTGGCTTGAACACGTTCTCCCAGACTGGGGCCGCGGTGTGCCCCAGACCCACATGTCAGGCGTTTTGTCGCCTGTAGCGAGCTGCAGGCAGCAGGAGAAGACCAGCCGGCAGGTGGGTTGTGGAGGGGCCCGCCTCTGCCGGCTTCAGGTCGTAGTGCACACTTGCGCCGCGCCGCTGCACGGTCCTGTGCGGCGAGGACCCCTGCCTGCACACCCTCCGACACCTAATCTGCTGGCCGCCCCTGATCCCTGCTCGCAGGCTGTGGAGGAGGGCGGTAGCATGATCCACTGCAGAAAAAACTGGAGGCAGGCCACGCTGGCATGCACGGTGGCAGCGCTGGCATGCACCGCCCTCGGCCTCTGCTTTGGCAGCTTGCCCGGTGCCACCGCTAGAGCCAGCTCGAATACCGGCAGCAGCAGCAGTGTGGAAATCGTGGCAGCAGCCACCGGGTGGCGAGACAGCCTGCCAGTCAGCAGGCAGCGGCCCACCCGCATCCTGCTGCAGCAGAAGGGGTCACCCGACCCGGCGCTTCAGTTAGGCTGGCTCCAAGAGCCACCTGGGGGCTGGCCCAGCTGGGAGACGCCCCTAGATGAGCCTGCCGGCAGCGAGGACGGCGTGGTGGTTGCTGCCGCAGCCACCGCTGTGGCGACACGCAGCCAGCCTTCGAGCAAGAGCTCCGATGCGGCTAAGGCAAGCTGCTCTGAGCGTGGCAGCTGCCTGCTTGCTTGCCTGCCAGCCTGCCTGCCCACCTGTCTGTCACGCCGCGCTCTCCAACCCCCATGTGCCTGCCCTCCCGCTCGCCTGCTGCAGGTAGTGGTGGAGCAGGTCGCCTGGCACCTGAGCACCGCTGCCGCGGCGCAAGAGGCGCGCGCCCGCGCTGCCAGCGCTGCGCTGCTGCTTGCCGACCTGCAGCCGCAAGAGATCAGGTGGGCAGCCCGCTGCCACCACGGCCTGCAAGCAGAGGCCCAGCCGTGTTGGCAGCACCGCCTGCGCCCTGGCTGCTGAGAGCTCTTCAGATTTTGCCGCCACTCAGCGAGTCGGCCCCTGCCTCCCTCTGCAGCACGCGCTCGCTGCCCGTCGATGCGCCAGCGGATGGCGCCGCGGCCGGCGACAGCCATCTCCCAGATGTGAACACGGTCGCCATAGCAGCTGCGGCGGCAGCCAAGGGAGGGGACAGCGAGGTGCTGTCCACCGCAGCATTCACTCCAAAGCAGTCGCCCAAGCCGAGCCCGCGGCCGCCTCCTAAGCCCAGGCCCAAGCCCCGCCCTCCGCCCCCCAAGAAGAGCCCTCCGCCGCGCCCCCGGCCCAGGCCCATCCCCAGGCCCAAGCCCAAGCCCCCTGCCGCCAAGCCCAGCCCGCGCCCCAGCCCCAGGCCGGCCCCCAAGCCGGCCCCCAAGCGCTCGCCCCCACCCCCCAAGAAGCAGACGACGCAGGGCGCGGGCGCCAGCCCGGCGCCCAAGCCCCCCCCGGGCCTGGCGACGCTGCCAAACACCGTGTACCGCGCCGCCTCCCTGCCTCCGCCCTTCCACGGAGACTCCCCGCCCACAGGGCTGGTGCGGCCGGCCGCGGCGCTGCCCGGCGGCTGCCCCGGCGGCAGCAGCGTGATGCGGTTTGGGGCGCGAGGCAACGGCGTGACGAGCGATGTGCTGGCGCTGCGGTACGCCGACCGCTCGCCTGGCGTGAGCGTGCTGTACTTCCCGGTGGGGGCGTACCGCATCACCGCCAACCTCGTCCTCTCCAAGCCAGTGCTCATGGGTGCGGCGCGGCGCCGGCGCCGGCGGGCCGCCCATGCCGGGTGCCTCCCCCTGTGCCGAACCCCCGCCTGGCCACACTCTCGATCCAGAGGGTGGGGTGCCGTGCGCGCCTCGGGCGGCCAATCCCCTCTCCAAACCAGTCCACCCCCTGCCATGCCGCCGCAGGCGCCAGGACAAGGTTCATCGTGGATGCCGGCGTGAAGCTGACCCTGAGCAAGCCGCCCAGGCGTGCGCCCATCTGGTTTGACCCCATGTTCACTGGCGCAGGTGCGGGCGCGCCTCAGCTGGACGCAGACTGAGGACTGGGGCTCTCCCTGCCGCGCCCGCTGCTGCCTGCTGCCGCCCCAGCGCTCCTGGCCGACCCGTCGCCTCCACGCGTGTGCCCCTGCAGGCAAGGTCCAGATGGGGAACGGTGTGGCTGAGGTGTACCCGGCGTGGTGGAGCGACTTCTCGCTGTCGGGTGCGTGCCAGCCCCTGCCCTCCACCCCAGCACAGCCAGCCGCAGCTGCAGCCGCCGGAGGCGCTGGGCTGTGGTGCGCTGGGCTGTGGTGCGGCATCTTACTGCACAGCACCAGTGCCCACCCTTACAAGAAGCCGCACCCAGCCGACCGCACGCCCCCCGCCGCCTGCCCTGCCCTGCCCTGCTGCAGATGACCAGGTGCTGCAGCTGGCCATCAGGAGCTGCCTGTCCACCTGCACGGTACTGCAGTCCCGCTCCCTCTTCCTCCAGCGGGCCGTCACGCTGTCCCCCACCGTCGGCGTGTTCAGCACAGCCAATGCCGGCATCGCGGCCGCCAGGCAATCCACAGGTGTGCGCTGCGGGCTGGCGTGGGCCGCATCGCGGCGGCTGTGTGCACCCCGGCTGTGTGCACCTGGCTGTGTGTGCCTGGCTGTGCGCGCCAGCAGCCTGTGCCACCCACGTGGCCCGCCCGGCGCACCCGGGTGTGTGCAGGGGAGGGCCTGGTGCTGCCTGCGGGCTCCTACAGGCGCCCCATGGTGCTCACGAGCGTGCGCAGCTTCAGCCGCTTTGGCGTCAAAGTCATGGTGGGTGCGCCCCGCGCCCGCTGGCCCGCCCCGCCAGCCAGCTGCAGCCGCTATGGGAGCTTGGGTCGTTGTGACCGAGCTGGTCTGTGGTGGGAGCAGCAGCACGCAGGCCGCCGCCGTCCATCGCGACCCTGCGGCTCTGCACCCTTGCCCTTGCCCAAGCCCACTCCCACGCCCGCCCGCCGCCGCCGCCGCCGCCGCTTCGCCTGCGCAGGGCGGGGTGCGCGACCTGGACCTACAGGCGGGGCACATCACCGACAACGGCGACGGCATCCTGTTCCAGGGTGCGGCGGGCAGGGCGGCCGCCATCTTCAACACCACCGTCAGCCACGTGTCGGTCATGCAGTCCAACCAGCAGACGGTGGCCTTCAGCTCACCCGCCCCGGGGGCCACCTTTGCGGGCGTCACCGTGCGCATCAACTTCCTGCTCACAGGTCCGCCCGCCGCGCAGCGCAGCGCAGCATGCACAGCATGGGCCACAGGCCGCAGTGTGCGCCGCCACCCAGGGGAGCACGGCGCCTGTGTGTGAGGGCCAGGGCCACACACGTCGGGCTGTGTGCCGCGCCTGCCCCGCCCGGCTGCCCGCCTGAACGCCATGTGCCGGCCTGGCGTGCGCTGCTGCAGGCGGCTTCCAGGCCCCCAGCCAGCCCAGCGCGGGCGTGCTGTTCCGCGGGGCCCCGCCAGAGCTGCGCCGCACCCAAGTCATTGTGCAGGTCGGCGCCGCCGCCTGCCGCTGCTGGCCGCTGGCCGCTGGCGACCAGCCTGCGCCCTGCCGAGCGCAGCTGGCTGCGCCCTGGTGGGGGGTGGGGCGGCGGGCGGGGAGGGCCGGTTGTGTTGCTTCATCGGAAGGGTGCTGCATCGTGCGAGCCACCTACCCTGTTGTGGCCAACCCTGGCCCGCGTGCAGCTCACTTCAGCCTGCTGGCATGCCCCTGCATGTGAGCCTCACGCCAGGCCCCCTCTGCAAGCCACGCCACGCCGCGCCAGCCAGCCACTTACACATCCAGGTGCTTGG